ACAATTTATAACTGTAAACAGAAATATTGAAATGGAATCGTAAAATATTTAGTATAGCGTGTGTTGCTTTTACATCCAACAGATGGAGCTGTTTTTCAAAAAAAGCATGTTTTTACCTGTCACAGGTGTGGCATCTATATAATAATAGGTATATAGGTACATAAAAACACACGCGTATTTGAATGCAACATTGTGTCAAAATTTCAAAGCAATCGGTGAAGAACTTTCGGAGATTTAAGATTTTGAACAAACGAACATTTACATTTTTATTTATATAAATACACACACACACACATACTGATTTGAGAGAGGAAGAGAGAGGGTGAGAAAAACATCTATGTGAGAGCAAAACATCAATCGCCTGCTGCCCACAAGCATCCCAACCAGGGATCAAAACCATAACCTGGCTATGTGCTCTGACCAGGAATCAAACTAGCAAACTTTCCGTGCAGGGAACGATGCTCACCTGACAGAGCCATGCTGGCCAGGCTTGCCTTGCTTCTTTAATAAATTTACTTGCTTCACTTTTTCTTAAATTGGCTTTACTACAAAGCAATCATCCCAAGTCACTCGTTTGAATTCCTTCCCACGAGACTGAAAGAACTGAGGAGGAAACAGCCCTCTCCCTTCAACTCAGGGGGGTGTCCTATGACAGCTTTTTCGGTGTTTCTGGGGTGCCTATAACAGAAGAATTGAACAACAAAGAAAAAAAAGGAGAAAAAACTCATGGACACAGACATCACTATGGTGATTGTTGGGAGGGAGGAGGTGGAGGAGGCTTTAGGGGGGATAAATGGTGATGGTCAGATCTGACGTGGGGTGGTGAACCCACAATGGGGTACAGATGATGTGTTGTAGAATTGTGCAGCTGAAACCGTAATTTTGTTAACCAGTATCACTTACCTCAATAAATTCAATAAAAGGAAAAAAAAGTTTCTAATAGTAGAAAAAAACAAAACCAAAATGAAGGAAATTTGGGTGAAGGAATTAAAAAATAAAAATTTATGAGAATATTTTATTTCACTGAGAAATGGTTGACTGTGATACTACCTAGTAATTAATGGCATTGCTAACATCTTTATATGGCTTTCCTATTTTTATATTTCATTCATTAGCCTAGTCAACAGGGAAGGGGTGGTTATTTGTGCCAAGGACTGGAAGGGGGTAAACGTAGTGGGAAGATCATGTAGACCTGTGCTGTCTGTTTGTCACTAGCCCCATGTGGATATTCAAACCACAATTAAAATTTTATTTCTACAGTCACACTAGCTATATTTTATTTATTTATCTTAAAACATTTTTATTGGTTTCAGAGAATAAGGGAAAGGGAGAGAGATAGAAACATCAGTGATGAGAGAGAATCATTGATTGGCTGCCCCCTGCACATCCCCCACTGGGGATCGAGCCTACAACCCGGGCATGTGCCCTTGCCTGGAATTGAACCCGGGACCCTTCAGTCCGCAGGCCAACACTCTATCCACTGAGCTAAACCAGGTAGGGCTCCACTAGCAACATTTTATTTTATTATTATTTTGATGCACTTTTCCTAGAGGTACTGCAATACCAGGCCAATGTGTGGAGTGGACAGAGCAAGCTCCTATTCCATCTCCTAATTCCAAAAATCCATTTAATATATTGTCCTCGGATAGAGGACATATCAGATATTAAACTGATAAGAACAGATACTACACTTGATCTTAGCCAAAAGGCCAAGAAGCGATTACTAGCTACATTTTAAGTTCTCAATAGTGCAGATAGTGAGATTCCCATCATTGCTGAAAGTTTATTGAACAGTTGATTCTGAAGACATTTTTTAAATTTTTATTTATTGGTTGATTTTAGAGAGAGGAAGGGAGGAACATCAATTTTGTTGTTCACTTCTTTGTGCATTCATTGGTTGATTCTTTCATGTGCCTGACCTGGGATTGAACCTGCAACCATGTTGTATTGGAACAAGGCTCTAACCAAATGAGCTACTTGGCCAGAGCCGGAAGGCTCTTGAGGTACATTATCTACAATGGAGATGAGGAGGGTCTAAGTTGAAGCTGTGGCAATCAGATGGAAAGAAGGGATCTCCCTGAGATACTTAATGTGATGCAGAGTGAAGGTGGGGATTCTTTTAGCCTGTTTTCTATATTCCTCCCTATGGTAAACGGGTAGAACCATTCACCAACAAAGTAAATACAGCAGAAGCAGGATTTGGAAAAGGGTATGAAATCAGATTTGTACCCAGTGAGTGAGAGGCAAGCCTTGGGACAATGGTCTGAGAAGCTGCTGCATCTCAGATTGTGATCTGTGAGGAGTCTGAATGGAGCCAGCGTTCCAAGGAAGGGGCAGCAGCCTTGGGTAGGGGCTGGAGCCATGCAGCTGAGCAAGGGCTTAGAGGAAGTGGGCTGCATGAGACCACCAGAGGCTGGTGCCAGGGCTTAGAGGAAGTGGGCTGCATGAGACCACCAGAGGCTGGTGCCAAGGCTTAGAGGAAGTGGGCTACATGAGACTGCCAGAGGCTGGCACCAGGCTGGGACACAGTGCATTTAGGCAGGGTTTCCAAACTGTGAGTGGGTCAAGAAATCAACAGACTAGGTCTCCACCAGCATTAAAAATATATAGAAACTACGAATATGCTTTGTATGTAATATGAGTAATCCTATATAATAAAAAGCTAATATGCAAATAGACCAAACGGCAGTATGACCAATCGCTATGACACGCACTGACCACCAGGGGACAGGCACTTAATGTAGGAGCTGCCCCCTGGTCGAACCCGGGCTCACTGCTGGCGAGCTCAGTGGTGGTGGCAGGAGCCTCTCCCACCTCTGTGGCAGCACTAAGGACCCTCAGGGATGGCGGACATCCCTCAAGGGGTCCCAGACTGAGAGGGGACCACCCCTCCAGTGCACGAGTGTCATGCACTGGGCCTCTAGTTTTACGCATATATGTATATTGGGTTGCAAAGTAAAATGTATTTCTGGGTTGTGGTCCAAGTAGCTTGAATGTCACTGATTTAAAAAATGAGCAACACAAACTATAAGCTACATGCGAACTGGGACAGTGTCCCAAATCCTGGCACATAGTAGACACTCATTCCTGCATGAAGGAAAGAATCAACATGTCGGAGAAATAAGAGGAAACCTAGGGCAAGGGTGACTCAGGAGCTAAAAAATGGTAAGAAATAACCCAGGGTCGAATGTCAGTGATGTGGCCATGGTCAGAGCACAAAGGAGCTTGTCTCTGTGACTGCTGTGGACTGGCAGAAGCAGAAGCCAGGCTGCAGAAGCAAACAGGAGGCGAGGAAGGAGGGTTGAGACAAATGACAGTGGAGATTGAGATTTATCTGTTTTGTATCAAAGATACGAAAATCCAACATACGTTGGAGATTATAGGAAAGGCATGTTCTAGAGCTGTGCTGTCCAACAATGAAACCACTAGCCACATGTGGCTACTTAAAGAAGAAGTAAATTGAAGTACAGTTCCTTAATCCCAGCTCCATCTCCGGTGCTCAGCGGCTACCTGCAGCCACTGGCAGCCTACGGTGCAGAGCCGACCGAACACTCGCGTCGCATCGTTGCGGAAAGGTCCACTGGAGAGTGATGCTCCAGAAAAGAGCCTTCATTTGTGATGCCGAGCCCTCAGTAAAACAAGCAGTGCAGCGCCCAACCTCTTCGCACTGGACATGTTATCCGAGCCCAGCAGAAAAGCTGCTCGGATCCCAGCACCATCTGTACAGATGACACGGCGCCTGGCCTCTGAGGGGGCAGCCCCGGGAGCCGGTGCACGCCGCAGGAAGGCTGCTGAACTGCAGGAAGCCGCCAGCGCCGTCGGGTTACAGGTGTCCGCCCAGGAGCTTCCCGCCAAATGCAGTCCCGATCCGTGCCGACTAGAAGCCATGACTGCGGAGGGCCGGCTGCGCAGGGAGGGAGCGTGGGCAAGGCTGCGAGGGCCCGGGCACTGCACGGGGCCAGAGGGCGGATTCGGGCCTGGGCACGCAGGTGGGTAATGCAATCGTCACAGTTTTACAAAATCAAAGAACAAATGAACTGACTCCCACGTGCACCGTACGCGGTTTCTGTGCAGCACCGCAGTAGTAAGAGGAACGTGACAGACGACTGCATTTATTATGCAGATCTGTTCACCGAGGCACTCAGGCTCCCGCTAACCCACGGCAGCGAGCAACGTCACTACTGGAATTTTAAAAATAAGGTTTCTAATTTTGTGGAAGAAATCTCTCTGCAATCACTTTTAAAGGGCCGTCTGGCACTGCCGGTTAAAACAACTTTTTCACGTGGGGTGAAGAGGTGAGGGAGGTGGGAGGGCCTCGGCTCTCGGGGAGTCTGGCCTGGGGCGGAAACACCGGTCCCTCGGCCTCGCCGGGCGCACCGGCGGGCAGCGCCCAGGCGGCAGCGCCCAGGCCTGGCACAAGCTCCTCGCGGCGGCCGGGAGCGCAGAGTCCCCGGGAAGCTCTCAGGGGAGCGCTCGCAGGCGCTTCCGGGGGACGGGACGCGAGATGCGCCCCGCGGAGCCGTGGGCTGGGCAGTGAGGGCACCGCCGACCCACCGCAGCGAGGACCGACACTAGTGGAAAACGACAGCTCAACCACCTGCCTACGCCGCCAGAGGCCGGACGCGAGCACCCGCCCGGCTGGCCGCGCCGGAAGTCTCCTCAGCCCACTTCCGGCGCGCTTCCAACTTCCTGGGCGAGGCCGGAAGTGGCTTCCCCGCACTCAGCTCCACAGGGTCGTAAGGCAAGATGGCAGCGCTCGCTCCGAAGTGGCTGCTCAGTCTTCATCCTGTTTGTAGCACTTCTCTACCTGCCAGGGCCTCTCTATTTCCATCTCCTGGCCTAGTTTTTCTCAGTAAAGCTGGCTCATATTTCAGCCTCATCCATCTGTGGCAGAGTACGGGCCGAAGGCAGCGTGAGGTGACCTGAGCGCGTTGGGCGCCATTTTGTACGGAAACTGCTGGCCGGTTGGGCGGGGCGAGCGGCGGGGAACCCAGACCAGGCCGCTGGCTGGAGACCGTGGGAGGGCGGGCGGCCGGGCTGCCGGGTGGCGAGGGCGTGCTATCCGCCATGTATTTCCGCTTCCTCTCGGCCCCGTCCTATGAGGTTGGACCGGCTTGTTGTGGGGAGGGCGGGGGCAGGTTGTTTGGACCTTCGCGCACGGTAAGGTAAACTGAGGCAGAGCTGTGCGTGAGGCACCCGTGCGCCCGACTGCGCCGGCGGCCTGGGGCCGGTCTCGGAGTGTTCGCAGGCTGGAGAAAGACGAGCAGGTGGGGCGGGGCGGGGAGTTGCGAGGTGAACCCCCGGGGTGCGCCCGGGGTCGCTGGGGGCGGGCACGAGCGGCGGAGACGCGGAGGGGCTGGGCCGCAGGTCCCGAGGGCCGAGGCGGGGAGGCGGGGAGGCGGCCGGACGTCGTCGGAGCTGTGGGGGGACGAGAGCGGGGCCGGCGGCCGGCGGCCTGGGGCTGAGCCCGCCCGTGGCCTTTGTTTCCCTTGCAGCTCCCCAGAGACCTCGCCGCAGCCTCGTTCGGGCCCAGCCGCGTCTCCAGCTGCCGCCCCGCCCGTGGCGCCCGCCTCCGCCCTCCCGAATGGTGTGCTTCCTCGCAGGCCTCGGCCCCGGATCCAGGCCCTCCGCCCCCCGCCTCGGAGCAGCAGCTCCACGAGGCTGGGGGGGAAGAACTTGGGTGCAGCCAAGGCTCTAGCCGCAGGGACCCCCTGACGACTGGGATCGCGGCCTCTAATCCAGTGCGAGCCCCGCCTGTGTCCCCTCTGCCAGGCCTTGAGGAGAGAGACCCTTCCTGCCGCCCAGAGCCCGGGAGGCCTCAAGCTGGGGCCCTGGGCCCAGCATGTCAGCCCCCTCCTGTGTATAGGGCTGTGCCCTCTTCCCGTCAGCATGGCGGAGCTCCGGCAGGTCCCGGGGGGGCGGGAGACCCCTCAGGGGGAGCTGCGGCCGGAGGCGGGGCCGGATGAAGGCCCCCGCAGCCCAGTCTCGGAGGAGCCCCGCGGGGACGGCAGCAGTAGCAGTGAGGCCAAAGTGTTTCCCGGGGAGGAGGAAGAGCTGGATCCTAGAATACAGGTGAGGGGACCGACGGAGAGTCCGGGGCGCCAGCTTCCTGACGAGCTGGCGGATGAGGGCACGGGGCAGGACAGGAAAGCGAGCTTGTCCACACACCAGTGCAATGCGGGGAGAAGTGCTAAGATCAGCTTGCGGCGGGAGAGCCAAGAAAGGCCGCGAGTGCCTGGGGTGGTTGCTGAAGCCTCAGGAGAAGGGAAGGGGCATTAGGAGGCACACTTCGGGTCAGTGCAGCGCGGAATTGTTCTTTCCAAATAAGCAGCAGGCTGTGAGCTCGGACTTGGGGGGCTGGGACGTGAGAGGAGGGGACAGGTTGGGAGGCAGCCTCACCTCATCAGTGCCTCCAGGGATGTTCACGTCCGTGAAGGCTGAGACCTGTCGTGTGTTACAAAGGTGGCATCCGGTTTCGGCCCCTGAGGAAGCCTGATAGGTATTGGTCCTCCGTCCTCAGTGACACAGATGCCCAGCTCTAAGGATGCGGTGGCTGCCGAGTGTGTAGGGGAGCTGATTTGTCGCCGTGGAGCATTTACAGGCCGGTTGGTCGGCTGGCAGCTCTTTGTGAAGGAGACCTGCAGCAGTGGGTGAGGCCGGAGCAGGTGGGCACCGGGTGGAGGGGTGGAGGTGCTTGGCCGCCGAGGCTGATTGCAGTGATTCCAGGCAGTGCCTGGGAAGGACTAGCTGGGGAAGCTGCTTGGGCCGGTGAGAGTCGGCACGTTTCTGTGTTTGAGGCTGAGTCTGCCCTTCAGTTCATAGCATCTTCAAGATTCTGGTGTGCAGGTGACTCACACCTGTGTAGGTGAGCAACACATCCCTGGGCTTGCGTCCTGGGCTTCTCTGTCAACACTCCTTTAGCAGATTACTTTGGTGTGTCCACCAGAAGTCGGTGCTGGTCCTAGAGTCCTTCCTGCCTCTTGGCGGGGCTCCTGGGGTGTGTGTGGGAACTGGGTCCCTGCTCACAGTGAAGCCGTGGTGTGTCAGACATTCCTGCTGTTTCACGGGTATTGCCTTGAAATCAGCTCAGTTTCTTTGGTTGATTTTAGATTTGTCCTCCACTGAGGAAACAAGTTGTAGTGAAAAACATTTCGGACTGAGGTTCAAGCAACCTTCTGACTGATGATTTGTGATTTTCATGCAAGTTGTGTAACCTCCACAAGCCTCAGTTTCTCTATCTGTAAAGTGAGGGGTGTTCCCCCTGATTTGCATGACTCCTTCCTGCACTGCTCTGACAGAGTCCTATGAATCTTTCACGTTCTTTCGTTTGTCTGTTGGTGAGTTTGCAGGTAGTGCTTTGGGAAAGACACCCCTGTGCACCTTGGGGAGGAAGGCCACGTGACGCGCTGCAGCGTTCCTGGCCCTGCTTCCGAAGAGAATCCAGCATTGTCTTCCGTGGTCCTGCCTGCTCCTCTATTGCCCAGCGCCCACACAGTCACTCCCGTGCTTCACTGTCCATTCACATGGCCGACTTCAGCAAATCAGTTACAAAGAAGTAAAAGTTGAAGATACAGTTCCTCAGGTGCTGTTGGCAGTGCAGAACTAGGACATTCTGTCATGGGCAGTTCCATCAGATGAGCTCTGATCTTTAGAGGACACTGGGCACCTGTGCTATCCCCTCGCCTCCGGTGGGCCCACCGTGACTTGCCAGAATAGGAGTTGCGTTGTGGGTTATGTAAGAAGGAAAAGTCTCCTTGCACAGGTGGCCCTCAGTTTCCTGGCCTCAGTGGGGATTCGGCCCTTGTCTTGTGGGAGGCAGGCTGCTGTGAGGGGCTCCCTTCATGGAGCAGGCAGCTGGCGTTCAGCCCTGCGGGCTTCGGGCTCTTCTGTGCAGAGGAGAGTGGGGCGTGTCTTCTGCGTCCCTTTAGTGTCGACAGTGCACAGACTGTTCTCCTTTTTGTGTGTTTCAGTGTTTTAAGTGGATCGTTAGTACATTCAGTGGGTCTTTACCCACAGATCCATCAGAACCCACCAGGGAGCTGTAAGAGCCGCCATCGGAGCTGTGCGCAGACAAGTGCATCCTTCTGGCCTGGGTGGGTGAGAAGTGGTTCTGACGTGTCCACTGGGCCAGGGATATTCGAAGATAGGGCCCCTTTTCGGGTGTTTTCTGGATCTTTGGGCGAGGCTCTTTGTGATGTAGGGACTGGGGTTTCTGGGCAGGCAGGCAGCATGCCCGTGCCTCCGTTGTCTGGTGGGATTGCCTGGAAGTTGTATGGAAGCCAGCTTCAGGCCTACAGGAAGTATGCTGTTCTCCTGGGAAGGCCACTGTCCATATCCGTGTCTTGACCTCAGCATAGTTCTCTGAGGCCTTTAAACTGGTTCTCTGGGCCTGGGTCTCCTCCTTTGTGACTTTCTCAGCCTCTGTGATGGGCACATCTTTCCTGGGTGAGTGGATACATTCACTCAGACTCTCAAGGATGACTCTGCAGCCTCTGCCACCTCATCTGAAATGTTGGTTTGGCTCGCAGACAGCTTTAATTCCCTTATTTCTGAGACCTGGGCCGTGCATCACCCTGGCCCCACCCGTTGATCGTGGCTTAGTGTTTTAATAGCTGGCATAGGCAGACAGGCATGTTGGCAGCCTGAATGGTTAGGCCTCTGCCACAGTGGCCTGGCATCCTGGGAATGCACTATGTGTCCAGGAAGGTCACCCTCCCTGCTGGCTGCAGGCTCACTGATGGGCAGTGTTTGCTGACTCAGACCTCATTTTCCTGGAGTTCTGTGTCAGCAGCTACCAGGAGTCCCCAGTGGGGCAGGCCACATGGCAAGTGTTTCCAGCTCCCCAACTGCTTGGTGTTCCTCAGCTTCCGTTCAGCCTGGCTGCCCCCACCCCCTTGCCCACCTCCAGCCTGTTAGAGCTTTGTGACTGAGGAGCAGACCTCATTCAACAGAAGACTTTTAATTACTGGAGCTGCTGTGCTGACGTAGATTCCTGCCTTTCGCCAGTAGCCAAACCCTGCACGTCCTTTTTCCAGTGGGGGATGACTTCCATAGAGCCCTCCACGCTGATGACCTTGTCTGGCTGGGAACAGTGTGGGCTGTGGAACCGAGTGGGAGGCAGCCTGGATCTCGGGTTTCCCACAGGAACAGTGCAGGGTGGACTGCATCCACTTTCTCTCCTTCCCCAAATCAATACTTGTTGCTCTCCTGAGGCCTGGACTTTGCCGTGGTTGTCTAAGGTGATGGTGTACCTGTCGTCTCTGAGGTTCGCACCCAGGCACATCCTTAGTGTGGAGGGTGGTCACAGAGGCTGGGCAGCCAGATCCAAGGGAGGGTCCAGGATGCAGCCCCAACTCTGTCACTGATGGCCAGATGCACACCTCATGGTTTCCTTTTTTTATTTTTCTTTTCTTTTTGTTAATCCTTACCTGAGTATATTTTTCCATTGATTTTTAGAGAGAGTGGAAGTGGGGGGGAGAGAGAGAGAGAGATACACAGACAGAGAGATGTGAGAGAGCCACATTGATTGGTTGCCTCCTGCACACACCCCGACTGCCCTGAACAGGGGCCGGAAATGGAACCTGTAACCCAGTTATGTGCCCTTGACCGGGAATTGAACCTGTGACCCTTTGGCACAAACCACTGAGCACAGCGGCCAGGGCCCCACCTCATTGTTCTTTTCTGTCAAGAGAATGGGCTGAGAAAGGGAGGATGCTAGCAAGGCTGCTGGGAAGGCCGGCATCTTGTCTCAGAGTCTGAAACCATCTTGGGCTGAGTCACACATAGGAGCTGGGCCCATGGGAGAGGTGGCCTCTCATCCTGCAGGAATTACCTCTTCTGAGGCCCGTTGGGGTGCTCCTGTCAGATGCAGGTGAAGTCCTTGTTGGGGAGGCAGTGAAACGGAGCTCTGTGCTGGTGGAGTACTTCCTTCGGCCTCCCTGGGGTCCCTGAGTGTTGGCTGCCTATGGCTCCAGACTGTCTTGTCTTGTGGACACTGGGTTGTGTGACTAACCAGGTGGCCCATGTGCACCAGTTTCTAGACCCACACTGCCCAGTATGGGAGCCAAGTGCGACTGGCCAGGCTAAGATGTGCCCTGAGGATCAAATGAACGTGCGTATTTCACAGGCATCGTCTAAAAAAGCATAGGAGTGTTGTAAATACTTTATGCTGATGACATAACTGAAATTACAATTTCTCGGGCATGTAGGGTTAAATGAAAAGTTACAATTTCATCTGTTCAGTTTTGCTTTTTTAAAAATGTGGCTACTAGGAAGGGTGAGACACACATTGTATTTCTGTTGGACAGCTTTGTTCAGTCCAGAGTCAAGTTTGAGGCCCTGTTGGAGGCAGGGAAAGTGTGCTATGATATCTTTGTTCTTGGTTCTGTTGTGTCTTCCTTTGTGTTCCTTTACTGTAATTAGGACATGTAACTTGGTTTCCTGGATTCTTACTTGCAAATCAAATCTCAGGGCTTGAGGAATAAAAGGACTAAGGGGGATCATACACTGGACTGTTGAAAGGGCTGAATGAGGCGAGTGCAAGGTGGCAGTGGCAGTGTGCCTCCTGGCCAAGTGTGGGCCATACCTGTGAGTCCAGTTGGCTGCTGCAGGGCTCCTGGATGGAGTCCCTTAGCTGAGCACCAGGCGTCTTCTGGGGCCCTGCTCCTCAGGAGTGTCCTTGACTTGTTGGGCTCCAGGAACTTGACCAGAAAGGGCAGGAGTGGAAACTTGAGCCCAGCACTCCTCCTTGCTCTCTCTCCCAGGTGGTCCTGGGTCCAGTGAGGCGCTCAAGCCAGTGTGTCTGGTGATTTCTCCCTGAGGCTCTTCCTTTCTCCCACAGGATTTACTGTGTGGGGACTTAGGGTCACTGTCACTCTACGCCCAAGCTGGCTCGTGGCCTCTTGAACCATGTGCTCTCCCTAATCTGGCCTCATTGCCCATCAGGCCCTCATAATTCTGCAGCCGGCATTTCCCTGGACCTGTGCTTCCCTCCTCAGCCGGATACTGCAGACTGCCTCCACCACTGTCTGCCTGGCTCCCCACTCATTCTCACATTGCTCAGATAGGCCTTCCCAAGCCACAGCCAGGGAGTGCCAGGCTCTGTGCCCTCCCCTTCCCTCTGCCCTGACCTCACTGGCTTCTCATCTGAGCGTTGCCTCCTGGGCACCTGCCTGTCACTGGTGCTTTCTGTGCATCAATCAAGACCCAGTCTGGGGCAGGTGTTTAGAGCACCCTGCCCCAGCCTTGTGCTGCCCAGGTAGGTGATGCTGCTCCCCCCCCCCCCCCCCCCCCCCCCCCCATGACTCCTCACACCATGAGGGTCTGTTGCTTACTTGCTGGGCCATAAGCTGCCACCTTTCCGAGTCCTGAATTCTTGGGTCTCATGTGCTAAGCTGGGGTAAGTGTGCAGTAAACGTGCTGAGCGAGTGGCTCAGGGAGGAGGAGAACTCCTGGCTGGGGTTTGAGGAGGAGCTGGTACAGTCTGAGGGAGAGCGCCCAGGCTGCTGCCACTTCCCTGTGTGCATGAGTGTTCATCTCCAAATCTTGATCTCCTGACCTTTAACGTGGGGGCTTTCCTCCCTGACACAGGTAAGTTGTGAGATAATGGACTGTGGATTAGGTCTCTGACAAGGAGGAGCAGTGCCTCCCTGTACTTCTTCCCTCCCCTGGTTTGGTGGGCTTTTGTCTCTGCATGCACTCCCTGCCCACCCAGCCCACGGAGGCTCCTTCTTTCCCCGGCTCTAACTCTGCCCCTTTCTGCGGCAGGAGGAGCTGGAGCACCTGAACCAGGCCAGCGAGGAGATCAACCAGGTGGAGCTACAGTTGGACGTGAGTGTCCTGCCCCAGTGTCTCCGTATGTCCCCTATTCAGCACAGTGGCAGGGGAAGGGGCGACACAGGAAACAAGAGGGACTGGTATCCACACACAGTTATTCGTCTGCCCACATCTCTGTCCCTTTGCCAGGAGGCCAGAACCACCTATCGGAGGATCCTGCAGGAGTCAGCGAGGAAGCTTAACACGCAGGGCTCCCAGTTGGGGAGCTGCATCGAGAAGGCCCGGCCCTACTATGAGGCTCGGCGGCTGGCTAAGGAGGTACAGCCCCCTGACCCTCGATCTGAGAGGGCCGTGCACCGATGCTGGCCCAAGATTCTTCCTCTGTATGGAGGGGAGACAGATCACCTTTTCTCTTTGCTTTTCTCTTCTCTTCCTTTTGGTTCATGCCTCTCTTTTTATTTACCCTCCACCTTTTTACCCTTCCTCCTCCCTTTTCTTTACACAAATAATGTGGGTTCACTATTAGAAAACTATAATTGTAACAGTAAAACAAGAAAAAGATAAAACAAAAATTGCCCTAAATCCTGCCATGCACACTTGATTTGTGTTGGTCAAGTATGGGGTGAGGTGGCAGAGACAATGGCAGTTCCCAAGAGTGGGGCATGCCATGCAGGGTTACATGGAGAAGCACCTGGGTTGATCAGGAGGCTGAAGGCAGGAGAAGAAAACTTGGCCCACGGCCTTTCTACTGTGTTTTGTGGTGAGGAATGGGTGAGGCAGGGTAGGCAGCTCTGGCTAAACTTAGGGTGGTAGGATGGTTTGAGAATAGGGGAGGGCTCTGTGCTCTGTGGTGGGACCTAGTTAGTACTTGGTCCTGGGTAACGGCAGAGGCAACATTGGCTGGTGTAGAAGAGTCAAAAAAAGGAGGTGGTGGGTGTTGGATTGGCTGGTTTGCATGTGAAAGGTGTGCTCACAAGGGAGTTTTATCTCAGAAATTAACTAGCTTTGGAAGGGCCAGTAAGGATCCCGGGATGTCAAAGCATCATAAAATATAGGCAATAAAAAGCGTGCTTAATACAGTACAGATAACCCATTACATTTTTTGTATACATTGTGCCAAACGTATTATACAGTGTATGCTGTTTTTACCCCTTTATTTTACTTATGACATAGTTCCATGTCAATAAATATACATCCATGCCATCATTTTTAAGGGCTGCCGAATATTTCCTTATATGAGACATACTATATTTACTTAACAGTTTCCTGGAACTGAAAACTTGGGTTTGTTTCCAGTGTTTTGTTTGGTCAGCATGGCTGTGATGACTATCTCTGAGCAATGGTCAGATTGTTTCCTTCACCTTCCCTACTGGACCGGAGTTGATGTGATGGTCTTGGGTGTGCTTTCTTTCTTTGAGACTTGATCCACGTCGCTAACTCCCTTGCAACGACCAAGGGGTGGAATTCTCTTTGTTCTCTGTAGGGCAGAAGGCCATCCGGCTCTGAAACTGCTGGGTCGGTCTCAACTCACCCTCCACTGGCAGCATCACGCTTTCCCATCTTCTCTCAGGCCATAACCTTACAAAATACTCTTTGTAGAATGTTGCTTTCTTGGTCAGCGCAGTGTGAGAAGTGAGGCATTGCAATGGGCTGTCCTCCTCTTGTCCTCACCTAGGATATATCTCCACAGTCCCCTGAGGACTCCCTGTTCTGATGGCCTTCTCCCCCCAGGCCCAGCAGGAGACGCAGAAGGCAGCCTTACGATACGAGCGGGCTGTGAGCATGCACAACGCCGCCCGGGAGATGGTGTTTGTGGCCGAGCAGGGTGTCATGGCTGACAAGAACCGGCTGGACCCTACGTGGCAGGAGATGCTCAACCATGCCACCTGCAAGGTGAGCCAGGCGGTTCCAGCAGGTCCCCTCCCATGGTCCCCTTGCTTTCTTTGCTGTCTCTTTATCCCATCACCCTCCTCACTCCTTTCTTTTTTCCACTCCAGCCTTCCCTCAGTTGTAACTGTTTCAGGCAAACCTGTTTCTTGCCCTGCTCTGCTTGGCCTCCAGTGTTCTTATGTACATCTCCTCTGGACGCATGTTGTTTGGCTCTTTGCCTCCAGGTTAGGCACTAACCCAAACAGTTCATCCTGCTGGATGCTCTCGGTTTAACACCCACATTTTGTTATGTTTAGCTGTGACACCTTCTGCTTTCAGAATACTCGCTCTTCCTTGCTTTTGAGCTCCGCCACTGTGCTTTGATATTTAAAGTGGAATTTGTGTATCATTTCCAAGCTACTTGAAGGGGACTGAGGAGCGGGAGGCTCCCTGGCATCAGCCACCTTCACCGTGTAAAGAGCAGTGTCTCCGTCCATTCAGGCTGCTATAACAAAGATATACAATGGGGCCTAAACAACAAATGTTCTCCCAGCTCTGGAGTTGGGGAAGTCCAGCATCAAGGCACAGGCAGATTTGGTGTTTGGGGAAAGCCCCCTTCCAGGTTCCTAGTCTGCCCGCTTCTCACTGTCCTCACATGGCGGAAGGGGCGAGGGAGCTCTCCAGAGCCCTTTTGTAAGCGCACTCATCCCACCCATGACCTACTCACCTCAGAGTGCTGCCTCCCAAACCTTCACTGTAGTGGTTAGGATTTCAGCATGTGAACTCTAGTTGGGGGGGCGGGGCGGGGGTACAGATGCGTAGTCTAGAGCAGCAAGTGTGAGCTCCTGAGAGGTGGGCATGCCTCAGGTCCGTTGAGGACTCCTCAGTCCAGGCCACCGCCTTGCACAGCAGGAGCCCCTACAGGAGAGTGTGGCACTGCGGAGGGCTTGTTGAGCTGTGAGTGGCAGGGTGTGACAGGCTCCAGTGTGCATCTGCCCAGTGTGTGGCAAAGTTGGCCCCTGGTCTTGGTGCACAAGCTGGCAGGAGACTTTGCCTATTCCTTGTTGGGGCGTGAAAATGTAGAGAATGCAGTGCAGAGCTTGGCTGCCCCCACCGGGGCTCCTCCGGTCTCCCCAGCTCCCACCCCAGCACTAGGGCTCCCTGAGGATGATGACTGTAGGAGATGTGCCCAGACGGACATCCTGACAGGCTCACAAGTTGTCCATAGGGCCCTGGCACCCTCCCAGCAGCAGCAAACCCGAGTGGCGGTGGTGCAGGCAACAATAGGCAGGTGCAAGGACCCACTGTTCTCCTTTGTGTCCCAGGAAATCCATGCTCTCTCTAGGCTCCTCAGACAGTGGGGTTTCCCCCAGGGTAACATTTGGAGTGGCAGCCTGGGGTGAATGGCAGGGGTAGGAGCATGTCCCCCAGCTTAGTGAAATCTGTCATCTACGCTATGTGGGCCAGGTGAACGAGGCAGAGGAGGAACGGCTTCATGGTGAGCGGGAGCACCAACGGGTAACGCGGCTGTGCCAGCAGGCTGAAGCTCGGGTGCAGGCCCTGCAGAAGACCCTCCGGCGGGCCATTGGCAAGAGCCGCCCCTACTTTGAGCTGAAGGCTCAGTTCAGCCAGATCCTGGAGGTAGCTATGGGGAGGGGGACAGGTGGGAGAGGGCGGGCATGGCAAGTGAGAGCAGGGAGACAGTGTGTGATCAACTAGGTGGGACGGGGTGGTGCCTGTGATCAGAATGACCTCAGGGAAGTGGGAGGTGGAGTTGGGGGTGGGTGCTGGCAGGGATTGGAGTTGTAGGGAGATAAACAAGAAAAAATGAGAATCGGGAGAGGAGGAGGATCTGGTGGGTTTGGGGCAGAGTGGGGCTGCCCAGTGGGACCTAAGGGGACTGGGAGCTCCCAGCTATGGAGCTTTGCCAGCTGGGTGATGCCATCCGTCCCTCCCTCAGGAGCACAAGGCCAAGGTGACAGAGCTGGAGCAGCAGGTTGCTCAGGCCAAGACTCGCTACTCGGTGGCCCTGCGCAACCTGGAGCAGATCAGCGAGCAGATTCACGCGCGCCGGCGGGGCCTGCCCCCTCGCCCGCCTGGCCCTCGGCGCTCTTCCCCTGTGGGCGCTGAGGCCAGGCCCCAGGAGGAGGAGGACGGAGACAGTGGGATCATTGAGGGGGCCGAGGGTGAGGCCCCAGAAGAGGGCTGCAGCCTGGGGCTTGGTCCTGCCCCTGATGCAGACACGGTAAGCCTGCTGAGCCTGCGCACAGTGGCCTCAGACCTGCAAAAGTGTGACTCCGTGGAACACCTGCGGGGTCTCTCGGACCATGCCAGTCTAGACGGCCAGGAGCTGGGCACCTGGAGCGGGGGCCGTGGGGGCCGCCACCAGCGCAGCATCAGTCTGTAGCCTGTGCTTAGGGGTCTGGTGTGGCCCTTACCCTGCTAGCCCACTCAGGACAGGGGCTCCCAGCTTCTTCCTGGGGTCCTTGCTTCCCCTGGAGAGGTCGGGTTGGCTGTGTCTGATTCTGTCATTTGTCATCCCCCCACCTCCCCAGTGTTACAGGTGACAGCTCTCTTTGCCTTACTCCGAAGGCTTACCTCCGGCTCTCACGGTCTGTCCATTCCCTTTGCTGGTCTCTTTCTAACTTCTTTCCTTCTGCCTGGCTTTTCCCTCAGGGAACTTGGTCTAGGAAGCACAGGGAAGCCCATCACAGAAGGTGGATGTGGACCTGAATCTAGCATCTCGGGCCCCCAAACCTGAGTGAGTGGACAGGTGTTCCTCCCATCTCCCTTCTCATGAGGGGCAGAGGGATGTGTAGGAGCCTCCTGGCAGCCTGGCCCCATGCTCTGTTCCAGCCCGCCTGTGTGTGACCTGTAACATGCACTGTGGGGCTGTGTACCTGTGGAAGACGCATCCCTGTCCCTTCAGCACTCCCTCTTCATGACCTCAGCCACTTGGCTCCGGGTGTCCCAGAGCAGGACTTGAGGGTGCTGGTGTCAGGCAAGGTGGAACCCGACCCTGCTGTCAGCATAGGGGACATTACCAACTCCGCACAGGCTCCCATGTACATGGTGTTTTCCCCAGAAGAGTTGGGCCCTTAACATTGCCAAGGTGCTAGTGGGTCTCTAATGGGGTCCATGTGTGGAGTAGAGATGTTATGAGGTCCTGATGCTGAGACCCTTGCCATCCCTGTTCCCAAGTGAGGTTTACTTTTTAGAGGATTTTGAGCTGAATCTCAGCCTATTCCTACAGGATGGAGTTGGGGAATTTGGTGCTCTTTCCCCAACAATACCATACCTACTCCAGGGTCCCTTGGGGAATGCAAAAGTGTGGCTGCCCTTGATGTGGGGAGGGGACACACCCTCCCCAGGGAGCAGCTTTAGGCGTTTAGTGGTGCTGCCAGGCTGTGTGTGCGTCCGGCGGGGGGAAGGTGGGGAAGTCTCACCAGGTTGGGGTGCCTTGGGAGGGCTGGTCCTTCTGTCCCACCCTAGGAGGGCTGAGAGCTAGACTGGGTAGTAGGGCTGTACCTAGGCCTGTGTGCTGCTGCCATTGACTGGGAGCCGTGGGGTCTTCACATGGACGGTGTGTCCCTGTTCTAGGGTTGAGGTAGGATGGTCACAATGAGAACCTGTGGGTTTGAGGTGGCCGTGGGTGAAGGGAAGAAAGGGAAGATGTGCCCGTGTGTGTGTGCATGTGCTGGTGTATGGGGGGAAAGGATCTGCCCTGATTTTATTTAAATAAAATAGTTTATGTAACAGTAATGTTTACTACCCCTGTATGGAAGGGAGAAGGGGGGGGGGTGTTGAGCAGGATGATGGGGGCCTCTTTCGATGGGATGGTCAGGGAAGGCCCCTGGGAGGTGAAGAAGAGTTGGATCTGAGATTTAACCAGGCCAAGAGAGGAGGGAAGGCTTATAGCAACATGGCTGGGGTGAGTGCACAGGGGTGGTTCCCCATCCCACCTGCTGGTGGAGCCAGGTTTGTAGGGTGGAGTGACTTGCCAGCTACTTTGGGGTGGTCCCTATGAGTGCCACTCCTGGATTGGCATGAGCATGAAGGAAGGGTTGCAGGATTTAGCAAATATGCAGGTTGCCCAGTTAGACTTGGGTTTCAGATAGTGAGTGCTTTTTGCCCCAGTGTTTAGGTCATAACTTAGTTATTTGTGGTCTACCTGAAATTAAAAGTTTAACACAGAGGAGACTCCCAAATCAAGGTTTGACTTGTGGGCCAGGCCCTCCTGTATACCCTAGCCCAGTGGCCAGCAAACTCATTAGTCAGCAGAGCCAAATATCAACAGTACAACGATAGAAATTTCTTTTGAGAGCCAACTTTTTTAAACTTAAACTATATAGGTAGGTACATTGTTATTAACTTAATGAGGGTAATCCTAAGGCTTAGGAAGAGCCACACTCAAGGGGCCAAAGAGCCGCATGTGGCTCGCGAGCCGCAGTTTGCCGACCACGGCCCTAACCTGTGAAACATCAGGTGGAGAAGGGCTGAGAACTTCACGAGCATGATATACACGAAGGCTTTGGACTGAGCCTAATCAGGGGTGCACCTGTGTTTACATCCAGGTGAAGAGTGGGGTCAGTCAAAGGGATGAAGAAGGTACTGCTGGGAGGGTCGGAAACCCTGCAAAGCTGGTGAGAAATGAGGTCTAAACTCAAGAGGCCGGGCAGAGGCCAGGAGTTGGAGGGACAGGAGGGCAGAGCAGTGACTGGTGACCTCAGATGGGACATCAGGAGCCACTGTGTACAGAAATGTACTAGTGTCCTTTGGCAGGTACTGTCCAGTGTGAGACTGCCTTTTCTGACCTGGCTTGTTTTTATTGAGAAATAAGGAAAGTATGATAAGACAGATGGGTGCCAAACTATTTCCTTTGTCACTAGGAAAGCTGCTGTGAGTGCATGGCCTATGTCTTTAGGCAAGTGAGCTTTCTGAGATGACACCCAGGTCATCCTTCCCTCCCCAGGCCCTGGCAGCGTGGACCTATAAGTCTCCTGGTGTGAAGGAACCCAGGAAAGGGCTAGTTGTGCCCACCCAATTCCTTGCAAAATCACCTGTCACATAAGGTAGGAGTGAGGAGAGACCAGGAGGGTTAGAGCTGATGATGCTTCCTCTAATGCAGTGGTTCTCAACCTGTGGGTCGCGACCCCTTTGGGGGTCGAACGACCCTTTCACAGGGGTCGTTCGAAAATACATCCTGCATATCAGATATTTACATTACGATTCATAACAGTAGCAAAATTACAGTTATGAAGCAGCAACGAAAATAATTTTATGGTTGGGGGTACCACAGCATGAGGAACTGTATTAAAGGGTCGCGGCATTAGGAAGGTTGAGAACCACTGCTCTAATGGAATAAAATGGCCACAGTGAAAGCACCCCAGCCTGATCCCGACAACCATGGCCAACACCACCCAGGGCATGTCCTGTGCCAGGCATATGCATTGACCCATTTTACTCCCACAGTGGGGGGTAGCACCACAGCTGCCTTTTTCCAGATGAGACAACAGGTAGAGTGGAAGTACCCTGTCTGCTCCAGCTTCATAGAAGAAAATGGAGGAAGTTGGATTTATTTTTTTTTAATCCTCACACAAGGCTGTGTTTTTTTATTGATTTGAGAGAGAGAGAAACCTTGAAGTGAGAGAGAAACATAAATTGATTGCCTCCTGTATGTGCTCTGACCAGGAGTTGAACCTGCAACCTTTTGGTTTAAGGGACGCTCCTCCAACCAACTAAGCCATCTGTCCAGGGTGGCAGTTGGATTCTTTGAGTCCAAACTCACAGGAACCAGAAGTGACAGTAGAGGCAGTGGATGTAGTCACCTCTTAGGAAGTTGTATGAAGTATCAGCATGGTCAAAGGGAATTTTGTTGTTAAAAATTTTGTTGTGAGCAAGAGATGGCCAGGTTGTGGGGAATGTGGGGCCTCGTCCCTCCCATTCCTGTACCATGTCACACGAAACAGTGAGTGGTAGCAGTGCTGCTGAAAATGTCCACAAGTGAGCGGCTGGGCCTCAGTCTCCCAGCGCCCAGCATGCACCTGGTGCCTAATGGGTGCTCAGTGACCATGCTTTTTTTGCTTCCCGCACGCCCCCAGTCTGATGTGCACCAGATTACTTGGTTAGGGGTTGGGTTCTACATCCACGTCCATTGGGGGCGGTGGGTTGGTTCTCCAATGTCTCTGTTCTTAGGTGTTATAAATTGTACAAGGAGAAGGTCCAGGTGGATTAGCCTGGTGCAGATCAGTGGATGCCAGTCACTCCGTTCAACAGTGAACCTGCACAGGGGGGCCTGGTCCCATCGTGTGCTGGACAAGGAGACTCCTTATAAAGTCTCCACCTAAGGCTTGGTCTCCCTCAAGGTGTGAGGAGAGGGATGGGCTCCCAGGATGTCACACCCTGCGCTGTCAGCAGGGGACAGCAGAAGCATATGTTCACGTCTGTCCTATGAGATTCCATTCGGGAATTTTGGTGGGCATCTGGGCGCCTGGTGGGTGGGCGCTGGGCCAGTGTGGGGAGCACACCACTTGAGTCCCATCTGTCCCCGCTTCTCAGGCCTCCTGCATTCCCGCGTCTGTGTTCCATGCGGTGTGAGAGTGAGCTGGCCCAGGTGTTTGGGGTGGCTTGTCATTTGGGACCAGATATTCTGTGCCTGTTGTGCCCTGTCCTCTTTTCCACCCACATTTCTTGTCCTCCCTAAGGCCCTGTCCCTGTTCATTTCTTAACTTCCCTCCACATTCCATTCCTGGGCAATCATTTCTCTCCACCCCTCCCCAACCCCACCATTCCTGAGCCCCAGGTCTGTACACTGGGCCCTCCTGGGACTGATGGAACCAGGGACAATCCACTGGCTTACAAATGGATGTGTGCGGGTTGTTTTTTGTTTTTTGTTTTTTGTTAATCCTCACCGGAGGATATTTCTTCCATTGATTTTTAGAGAGAGTGGGCAAGGGAGAGAGACAGGCATAGAAACATTGATGTGAGTGAGACATTTATTGGTTGCCTCCCGCGTGCACCCCAACTGGGGCTAGGGATTGAACCTGCAACCAAGGTACCTTCCCTTGACCGGGAATTGAACCTGTGACCCTTTGGTTCCGGGGTCTGATGCTCTAACCACGGAATACACCCTCAGGGCTGAATGTGTTCAGTTTATTAAGCAATATTTGCCAGGATCTTTCTAAGTACAAACACTGGTAGGGCTTGTTAGAAACACCATAAAGTGGGTGGGGTGCTCAGGTGAGGAACACAGGTTCGTGCTGGTAGCAGGTGATTCAGGGCAGTAAACATTGATGACTAGAGAGGGCTACAGTCAAGGAGGGATCTGGGAGATGAGGAAAGAGTGGGACGCTTTGAGTGGGGCACTCATTACTTTGGAGCTCTGACCCAGCCACTGGGTGCAAGCTGGACAGGTGCTGGCAGGAGGGCCCCCACCTCCAAGTCTTCCTGACCCTAGGCCTCACTCTTCTGAACCATGTCCTGAGCCCCTCCAGCCAGGGCTGTGTCTCACCCATCTTATGTTCTCAGGGTCTGGCACATGCCACTGTCCATCAATATCTGCCCACTTACATGCTGATACTTGTATTACTCTTGACATGTTTCCCCGCTGCTTAACCTGTTAGACTTCTGCCTGGATTTGAGACCCAGCTCAGGTTTCTTGTCATCAAAGAAAAGCCTTTCTGGTTCCCAGCTCTCCAGCCAGCTCTGAACTAATCCCCCCACCCTCTCCAAGTTCCCCAAAGCTCATTTGACTTTACCTTGCTCAACACCTAACATGCTACAATAGACAGGATAGAGTGACCGTACGCCATGTATGGTCTAAACTGGTGCACGTGAGGTGAAAGGGGGCAGATGTAACCCAGGAGTGAACAGCACTGACCACACTGTCCAGAGGGCTGTCATTGGCCTGCCTATGCCATGAGGAGCTGTGTGCACATGAATGACCCGCTAGCTCCCCTGGGCCTTAGTGTCCCAGTCTGCAAGAAGTGCACCGCACCGGGCAGATGACCTCTCAGGTTCTTTTTTTTTTTTAAATATATTTTATTGATTTTTTTACAGAGAGGAAGGGAGAGAGATAGAGAGTTAGAAACATCGATGAGAGAGAAACATTGATCAGCTGCCTCCTGCACATCCCCCACTGGGGAAGTGCCTGCAACCCAGGTACATGCCCTTGACCGGAATCGAACCTGGGACCCTTCAGTCCGCAGGCCGACGCTCTATCCGCTGAGCCAAACCGGCTTTGGCATCTCAGGTTCTTTAAAGAACTAAAATGACATGGCCGGTGGAGAGTTTGGGCCTGTGAGGCATTTAGTGGGCGATGTGAGCAGGTGGATGCGTTTGCAGAGAGGTCTTGGGAACAGAGCATGAGAACTCCCAAGTCCAGGGTTGATTGGGACCCAGCCAGAGGCAGTGGACAGCTGCTTGGGTGTGAGCTGATGACTGTCCACTGCATCAGGACCTTGCATTTCCGGGGAGGGCGGAGTGCTTGGGTGGCCTCTCCTTCCTGGTGGCTGGCTGGCGTTTACCACACCTGGGATAAACCAGCTGACTTGTTCAACACAGTTGGAGAATGGGAGTCAAAATGAGTTTTTTCCCCATTTAGGACAGAGGAACATTTGTATCTAGGATGGAATGGAGGCCAGAGTGGCAGAGTTTGGCAAAAGAAGACAAACTCCTTTTTCCTCAGCTGCTTCTTCATCACACATGCTTTCAGCCACCCTGTCCCCATTCCTCTCTCCTTAGGGGTCCTCTCCACTCCACACGCAGCAGAAGGGCATGTCAGCCATGTTGGGGCCTACCCTTCTCCAGAGGTGAGGCAGGAACTTACAGCGCTGTGGGGATGGGGGAAGAGTGGAGGGATAGAGGAAGCTGCTGGCGTGGAGGGCTTCCTGGCGGGGCTCCTGGAACTGGGTGGGCTCTCAGAAGCTGCCACTGTTCAGGGGAGGATGAGTCCCTCGCTTTACATCCCCTCCCCTTTTCTAACTTCAGTGTTGCTGCTGTGGAGAGGCCAGGAGCCCCGCTGCCCCTGTGCTGGGCAGGAGTGTGCACCCTGCTCTCCTATTTGGCTTTCAGCTGACCTCTACTCAACTCTGCTTCCACTTTGGACAGGATTTCTGAAGCCTCTGATCACAAAACTTTCCTTCTCCCTCAAAACAGTTGTATTTAGCAGAAGGGACTGTGGTGACTCAGTTGGAAGGAACCCGTCCAACAAGAAAGGTCACAAGGCCTTAGAATGGTCTCTTTCGGAGGGAAGCTATGTCTTCATGGCACCAACAAAAACAAACTCAAGATTTTGTTGTGTTTTTTTTTTTTTAAATGCAGCCAGCTATTTAGCTTACTTGCCACCTTGGATATGCTGTTTGTTTATCTTTTTTTTCTGAATTAAATTGAATATATTAAAGGCACATCCAGAGAAAATGTGAAAGGCAAGTAAATTGGTATGGAAGCGTAAATGGAGGGGATGAGAGGAAATACTGTGCAACTAGAAGAATTGGTACAAAAGTGGTGAAGATAGGTGCACTCAGCGGCAGGGAGGGACCTCAGAGATGAAGCAGGAGCATGCCCAGGTGATTCAGCCAGTAGCAGGATGGTGCTCTGAGGTGCTTGGACACTCACTGAGCGCAGGTCAGATTTATAATCCTTACCTTGACCTAGCTCAAGGTCCTACCTAGGGTGTGGGCCCTTCCTGGAGCTGTCTGCATTTTATGACCCTCTGCCAGCTAGAAGTTTATGGCTCTGATGTCAGGAAAATCACTGATAAACCTTGTTTCAAACATGCTCCAACCCCAACTGGCTCTAACAGGGTTTGATATCTCATAATTGGAAGCCAGATACGAGTGAATGCAATATGTAGGCAGGACCCATTGGAGACACGGGGAGGGTAGAACTTCCTCCTGGAAGTAGCCATCCTATAACCAGGTAGGAAGACCCAGAGGACTGTGCTCAGGATGTGCCCCAGGCCCTCTGGGCAGCTCTGCACCATTAATTCTATGAGGATTTGTGTGCCTGGAACCCAGCTGACACTGATGGGGCCAGTCTAATCAAAACAGTCATGTTTTCTTGAGGACTGTGGGTTCTGAGAATTTTGGGGTTTTTTTGTGAGGTATGATCAGTTATGGGCATGAACATCTCACAGTGAAGTGAGAACGGTAGAAATGTCTCTCACCCACCTTTCATCACTCCGAGATCCTGGCCCAGAGAGGATTCTTCTAGAACTCTGGTTTCTAAAGTGGGTTCTCCAAACCAGCAACATAAATATCACCTGCAACTTCTTGGAAATGCACATTCTCAAGTCCCTGGGTCAGAAACGGGGTGGGTTGAGATGGCGCCCAGTGTGTTAATATGGCAAACACAGTCACTTCATTCCCCTTTTATTCACCAGTGAGATGGCACCCAGTGTGTTAATATGGCAAACACAGTCACTTCATTCCCCTTTTATTCACCAGGTCACCTGGTCTAACTTAATGGGGGAGGGTGTCTGGTGTATTTTAGGCGATAGGAAAAACAGGCTATGAACATTATCAGGGAGGTGACAGAAGTTGGGTTTGCTGTTTCTGTTTTTGGAATGCAAGTCTGAAAAATAAGGTCTTTGGAACATAAGCAGAGTGCCTTTGCCACACCAGACTAAATTGATAATTTTTTAGTGTCATCTGTTAAACCAAATTAAAATTTCCCCAATTGCCTCATCATTGCCTTAACACTGGGTGGTCTCAGGCTTCAAACAAGCCCCAGACGTTGCATTTGGAGTGTTAGGTAACTTCAGTTCAGTCTGTGTCTGAGGTTTTAGTTGCCACTGTAAAGCTGTGGACAAAAAAAGGGGCCACATACCAATTTAAACCTTACACATTTATGGGCGGCCTGCATGGCAGCCTTACAAACTCAAGAGACCAAAAGAACCCCATAGAGTGGTCTGAAATTAAAAAAATTTCTAACTAAAAATAGTTCAGGGAGGGTAGTCATGTGCTACGGCAGTATTTTTTCCTAACAAAAGTCAAATCTTCACCTTAACTAAGCCTGTTGTCTTTTGCTTCTAAGATAACATACCTTTGGAATATCAGATTTTTTTTTTCTGGACCCCTCAAAGCATAACCAACACCAGAGCAGAGACCACAAATCTCATTGTCTTACACCCACAAATGTAAAAGAAGTACGAGTCTATAGAAAAAATGCTCAGCTTCACTAATCATCAGAGGGATGCAAATTAAAACTACAAAACGAGTTATTACCTCACATCTGAGATAATGGCTACCATCAATAAATAAGTGCTAGTGAGGATGCTGACAAAAGGGAACCTTAGTGCACTGTGATGGGAATGCTGACTGGTGCAGCCACTGCAAAAAGTTAAAAATGGAACTGCCAGGGCGTTCCAAGATCACTGTGGAGTAGGTGAAATCAGCACACCTGATGCCGAACTGGATTTACAGCTAAAATTTAGAGCCATCAACCTGAAGAAACCACTGAAGAACACCTACACAGGAGTCTGGAAAAAGGAAGCTACACAAAGGCTGGTAAGAAGGGTGGAGATGCGGAGAGGGCTAGCCCCTGCACCCAGGTGCAGCAGCTGAGAATCCAAAGGGATATTGTGGTTGCAAAAGTCCCTCCTGAGGAAAGTGGGGTGAACCCCACACTGGGACCACCAAACCAGAGCACCAGGGCTGGGAAGAGGAGCCTGCATAGCATCTGGCCGCAGAAATAAGTGAGGACTTTGTCTGCTGGAAAGAGGAAGGAGTCTAGAACCCAGGTGCTTAAGGGCCAACACACAAGGGCTTGGGCACTCACCTGGGGCCCCGGTTAGAGGGAAGGAGACTTGGCACAGGGAAGCCATAAAGGGAAGAACTGGGTGGCATAGCTCCAGAGATCTGGATTATAGGCTACTGAGGTCTGGTCCTGAGTCAACATCCCATCTGGCCCTTGGATGCCACCTGCCAGGGTCAAGCTCTTCTATCCTTTCAGCTCCAGCTGGAGGAAGTGTACTAATGCTGTCCTCCAAAGACTGGTGACACCACCTGCCAAGATTGAATCCAGGAAAAAGGACTATTGGCTGTACCCAATACAGACCTGAGGTGGGCTCTCTTTCTGGAGAAGCTATAAACACTCATGATCATTGAACTGATTAGTTTTGGAACAAGGGCCAATTTTCTCCAACTCACGGCTTAGGCAGGTGTCACCTCAAAGGAAGACCTCCTTGTCAGGTTCTGAGGCAGCGGGCAGCTGCAGAGCTAGGGGGAGGTGTGCACTAGCACCCCTCCCACAGCTCTGTGCCACTCCCAATGGAGGGCTGACTTGATTTGCATTCCTAAAGCCTGCTGGCCCCATTCTGCTAAGCTCAGATCTGGGGCGGGGGGGGACACAACTCCGAATTGGGACATTTCACATAGCCCCTTAGGGACCCTCCATCAGAGTCTGGCAGTGTACTGTAGAGCTAGGGGAAAGGTAACAGTTCTCTCCCCTCCCAAGTTCTGGTGCCACCCCAAGCAGAGGGTTGCCTTGATGTATTTTTTTTAAAATATATTTTTGTTGATTTCAGAGAGGAAGGGAGAGAGAGAAACATCATTGATGAGAATCACGGATCGGCCACCTCCTGCACGTCCCCTAATGGGGATTGAGCCTGCGACCCAGGTATGTGCCCTTGACCAGAATTGAACCCGGGACCCTTCAGTCCGCAGGCTGACGCTCTGTCCACTGAACCAAACTGGCCAAGGAGCCTTGATCTATTTCTCCAAGCCCTGCTGGCACTGTACTACTGGTGCAGCCTTGTAGGGGAGAGGAAGCACAACTCTGAACTGGGACACTGGTGTGACTACTAGGAGCCTCCTGTTGGGGTCTCTGGTGGTGCACTAGGGGAAGGCTAGGAGCTCACTTCCCTCTTAAGAGCTGAGGGCCAGCGCCACACCCATCAGAGGACTGCTTTGATCTGTTCCTCCAAGTCCTGCTGTGGGTAATGGAGCAGGGAGCATAGCTTGGAACTGCAGCTTTGGAATGTGGCTCTGTAGGGGTCTCTGAAGGCGTAGCTGTGGAGCTAGGGAGAGGAGTTGTACAGCTTTCTCTCCTCACGGGGGCTAGCACCACCACTGATGGAAGACTGCCTTGATCAGTTTTCATAGCCCTGCTGGCCCCATGCTGCTAGGCTCAGTTTTGAGTGGGGAGGAGGCTTTGCTCAGAGCCAGGACATTCAGTGTCCATCTACCTCACAGGTTCTAGTCCAGGGCTTGAGCAGGAGTGGCTACAGAGCTAAAAGGAGGAATGCAGCTCAACCCTTCCTGTGGTATAGTTGGTGACACTCGCAAAAGAAGGCTTTCTTGATCTGTTTGCCTAAGTCCCTGTGACCCCCATCCTGTCCTGCTGAGCTTGTTCCTTCAGTGAGGAAATCTGGCTACACCCAAACTGAACCTGTGGTGCACTCCTGGGAGAGCTTTAGTTGGAGACTGGCAGAGTCTGAATGGATGGCTCTGGAGTAGGGGCACATTTTCCCCATTTGAGTGTCAAACTATGCTGCCCCAAACTAGCGGACCCACTAGCCCTGTCTGCCCAAACCAGTTGCCCCAATTTACTGAGCTTGCACCTGTGAAAGGGTCAGTGTGGTGTGGCCAGATTGGGCCCACTCAACAGCTTTCCTGCATAAGACTAGGAGTCCAAGCAACATAGAGGGCGAGCTGAGTAGCTGACATGTGGATGTTGAGCTCACAGTGCATGGTCTTTTACTGATCTGCCATTGTATCAGAGCTCCAGAAAGCTGACCTGTCTACACAGATTGACCCCTCCCATGCAAAACAGGTCCAGTAGATGAAGACACAAAGAGTGGACAGCATGCAAGTTTGCATGCTGTGGGTGTGGGTGGGAGAGCCAGCCTGAGGGTTGATCCCACAAATAGGTCAACAACATTTAAGACCCAGTTACAACAGGGAGGCCCAAATAACCCACAAAAGAGAGATTCCTAGAGCACCCAGCTTAGGAGATCAAGGAGATTGCACCACTGGGTCCCACAGGACACCTACTACAGAAGGCACCTAAGTAAGACTGTGAGTGATAGCAGTTTTATCTACTACATAGAAACAAACAAAAAGAGACAGCCAATATTGGGAGACAAATGAACAGGCCCCAAATAATTAAAAACACAGGAAGAATCTCTATAAAAAGAGCTAAATGAAAAGGAGGCAACCAATTCATCAGAAACAGAGCTCAAAGTAATGGCTATAAAGATGCTCAACAGCTTGGAAAAACCCCCACAAACACATAGAAAACATGGAAAACAGGTGGCAATAGAGACTACCATAGTTGAAATTTTAAAAAATACACTGTGAGAAATAAACAGGCTTGATGAAGCAGAGGATCGAATCAGTGATTGGGAAGATAAGGTAGAAAAAAAATCACCTAGTCAGAGCAGGAAAAAACCCCACAAAAACAAGGATATCTAACCTTACAACTAAATAATTAGAATGAGCCCAGCCAGTGTGGCTCAGTAGTTGAGTGTTGACCTATTAACCAGGAGATCACGGTTCTATTCCTGGTCAGGGCACGTGCCCTAGTTGTGGGCTCAATCCCCACTAGGGGGAGTGCAGGAGGCAGCCAATCAATGATTCTCATCATTGATATTTCTATCTCCCTCTCCCTTCTCTGAAATCGGTAAAAATATTTTTTTAAAAATTTAAAAATAATTAGAAAAGCTCAGAGGAAGTAGAAGAAAGGAAATAGTAAAAATCAGAGTGGAAATAAATGACACAGAGACTAAAATAACAATATAAAATATCAATGAAACCAAGAGCTGGGTTTTCAAAAAGATAAACAAGGTTGATGAACCTTTAGCCAGACTTACCAAGAAACAAAGAGAGAGGACCCCAACAAATAAAATCAGAAATGTAAGAGGTGAAGTAAAAATTGACATCATCAAAATACAAAGGATTGTAAGAAAATATGATGAATATCTATATGGACAACATGGGTGAACGGAAAATTGCTAAAAACATACAATCTTCCAAAACTCAAACAGGAGGAATCAGAAAACCTGAATAGGCTGATAATAACTAATGAAATCGAAGCAGGAATAATAATAATAAAACCCTCCCAGCAAACAAAAGTCCTAAACTGGATGGATTTACATGCTAGGTTTACCAAACATTCAAAGAAGACTAACACTTCTCAAACTATTCCAAAAATTTGAAGGGTGTGTGTGTGTGTGTGTGTGTGTGGGGGGGGGGGTGTGGCTTCCAAGGTTCTTTTATGAGGCAAACATTATCCTAATTCCAAAACCAAATAAAGACACTACAAAGGAAAAAACTAGAGGCCAATATTCTTGGTGAATATAGATACAGAATTAAAATGGCAATAAATAAGTACCTACGAATAATAAGCTTAAATATAAATGGATTAAATGCTCCAATCAAAAGACATAGGGTATCTGAATGGATACAAACACATGACCCAATTATATGCTGTCTACAAGACATCCACCTTAGGACAAAAGACTCACACAGGATGAGTGTGAAGTGATGGACAATTTTTTCCCCTCAGACAAATAGAAATGGAAAAAAAAAAAAAGCTGATGTGGCAGTACTCATATCTGACAAAATGACACAGCACTAATAAAGAACACATTGGAAGGAATACACAGCAAATTAGGGGAAGCTGAGGATTGGATTAGTGAATTAGAAGTCAGGGTAGAAAAAAAAATGAGGGCCATCACAAGAGACAGTAAAGGCCACTTCATAATACTAAAGGGGTCAATACAACAAAAGAATACAACCCTGGTAAACATATGCACCCAATATAGGAGCACCTAAATATATTTTTTAAAATTTCTAAAAGACTTTAAGGGAGAGATTGACAGCAATACAGTCATAGTAGGGGACTTTAACACCCTGCTGACTTCATTGGATAGATCTTCCAGACAAAAAATCAGTCAGGAAATAGTGACTCTAAATGACAAACTGGATGAGATGGATTTAATTGATGTTTAGAGAACATTTCACCCCAGAGCTGCAGAATATACATTCTTCTCAAGTGGACATGGGTTAGGACACAAACCAAGTCTCTACAAGTTCAAGAAGATTGAAATCATATCAAGTTTCTTCTCAGACCACAATGGAATGAAATTAGAAGTCAACTACAGTAAAAACACTCAAAAACATTCAAACACATGGAGGTTAAATAGCATGCTATTAAACAATGAATGAGTTATCAATGAGATCAAGAGACAAATAAAAAACTTCCTGGAAACAAGTGAAAACACATAACACCCCAAAGTTTCTGGGACACAGCAAGAGCAGTCTTGAGAGGGAAGTCCATAGCATTACAGGCTTACCTCAAAAAATAAGAAAACTTAATAGACTATTTAACCCTACAACTTAAAGAATTAGAAAGAGAACAACAAGAAAAGCCCAGAGTCAGTAGAAGGAAGGAAACAATAAAAATTAGAGCAGAAATAAATTACATAGAGGCTAAAAAAACAAAACAAAAGTCAATGAAACCAAAACCTGGTTGTTTGAAAAGATAAACAAGATTAATGAACTTTTAGCCAGACTCAGCAAGAAACAGAGAGGACACAAATAAAATCAGAAATGAAAGTGGTAAAGTAATAACTAACACCACAGAAATGCAAAGGATTATAAGAAAATACTATGAACAACTATATGCCAACGAGCTGGACAATGTGGAGGAAATGGACAGATTCCTAGAAAAATACAATCTCCCAAAACTATGTCAGGAAGAAACAGAAAACCTGAATAGGCCAATAACAACTGAGTAAATAGAACTAGTAATAATAATAAAAAAACTCCCAGTAGACAAAAGCCCTGGTCTGGATGGCTTCACAGGGGAGTTTTACCCAACACTCAAAGAAGAACTAACACATATACCCCTCAAACTATTAAAAAAAGTTCAAGAGGAAGGAACACTTCCCAAGCTCTTTTTGTGGCCAGCAATATCCTAATTCCAAAACCAAATGAAGACACTACAAATAAAAGTACAGGACACTATTGCTGCTGAACATGGATGCTAAAATCATGAACAAAATATCAAATCGGATTCAGCAATATATTAACAAGATCATACACCATGACCAAGTGGGATTTATTCTGGGGATACAAGGCTGGTACAAAATTAGCAAATCAATGAATGTGATCCATCACGTAAACAAATTGAAAGGCAAAAATCACACAATCATGTCAATAGATGCAGAAAAAGCATTTGACAAAATCCAACACGCCTTTTTAAAAAAATATATATTTTATTGATTTTTCTACAGAGAGGAAGGGAGAGAGATAGAGAGCCAGAAACATCGATGAGAGAGAAACATCGATCAGCTGCCTCCTGCACATCTCCCACTGGGGATGTGCCCG